ACATTTTATAACACAAATGCTGATCAAACGAAAAAAACAAATAAAACTTATCAAATAGGGAAATGGCTCTGAGTCACAGTATTTTTATTGGTTTCAGTACAAATATGTTAACAGTCGATACTATATGCTCATCATGGCCTTAAACACACATAGGCCTTTCCTGCATGTGTCCTTGGATTATCCCATTCCATGTAATAGGAGATGTGGTAGACTGAGGCATGGTAAAAATGTGACCCACAGTCAACCCATGTAAGGAGGCCATGCTCAAGCTACAGCAAGTCCCAATTCAGCACTAGTGTTTTCAGGCTAGGGGCAAGCAGGGAAAATGATTTCCCATTGCTGCAAAATCACATCACGGCAATGGTAAAACATGCTGGAATAAGTTGTTTTTACAGTAATATCAGTAGTAAAAACCCATTCTAGAGAATAATATGATTCTAATCATGCAAGAAAGCAATGTCCCAAAATCAACCTTATCAAATCTAAGAGGATATTCTTAGAGCAAGGAGGTTATCCAAATGGAAGTTACATGTAGTTTGCTTGCTGAGTTCTTTGCTAAATATCTCTGGGGAAATATTGCTAAAGCTTTCTGATCCTTTTTGCATGTTAACTTAGCATGTATCAATATAGATTTTGCATATTATTTTATAGGAGCATACATGTAGGAAAATCATTTTAAAAATATTATTTATACAATTTCAACTTCAAGCAAATTTATTCTGTTGCAGAACTGATTCTATTAGTATGAAGCTACAAAGTTATGAATATGAATCAGATTGTATAGCAAACCAAAGGAAGGATAATTTCAATTTCCTTCTTTCCTCTCCTTGACACCCTACTGCTAGTATCCGGAGTAATGATATCTGCTGTGGCCTTGTGGGGTAGCTTATATGATAACATTGCTACGTGAGGTAGACAACATACAACCATTCAGGCCAAGGCTGCAGGCAATATCAGATTAAATACTTGTTTCACACTTCCTATTTTTATGTAACACTGGTCACTTTTGACAGACAGAGCAGAATTGAGAAAAAATACATTAAATTCAAAATGAAATATTTCTATGTAAATGTTACTCTTTGACATGCAAAACTCAAATTTACGCAAATTCAAGTTTTTCAAATAAGGGGTGTAAATGTATATATCATATCATTATTAATAAACTTTTCTATTTTTGTTTCAAAATTTTATACTTCACCGAGACCTCTTTGTTCCTTTTCATATATTTATCACCTTATCTTCAGAATCAGAACTCATTTTCTTCATCCTCCCTCCATCCATCCTTGCATCCATCCTTGCATCCATCCATCCTTGCATCCATCCATCCATCCTTGCATCCATCCATCCTTGCATCCATCCATCCTTGCATCCATCCATCCTTGCATCCATCCATCCTTGCATCCATCCATCCTTGCATCCATCCATCCATCCATCCATCCTTCCATTTCCTTACCTTTACCCTAAAGTCCTGCTCCTATCTCCCCCCACCTTCCTTTCCCCTCTGTGTGAACACTTGAACCTGATGCTAAACTCTACACAAATCTGCTGACCCTGTCTAATAGCTATGGCTTCCAGCTGGGTCCCAGGCAGGCAGCTCCTGACCTGCTGACATTTCTGCACAGTCCTGCATGTTTCTCCCTGGGAGGTGTGCAGATTCGTGATGTCTAGCTCAGCTAGATCAACATGTTACTACATTCTACGCTTCAGGCTTTATCCTACTACTATTCCTAGAACAACACTCAAAATTGCTGTAGTTCTAGCCTGGAGAATTGCTAGTTATTCAAAGGGTTAATATTTATATTCAGCAACAACACATGTACTCCAGTACTAGAATATTTGCCCCTATCAGGGCCAAATTGAATTTGCAGTCACTGTCTGTTATTGCCAAGAGGACAGTGTGGAGGTAAAAGTTTCAAGCTTCCAGATGGAACTTGTCTGACAAATATGAAGCTTTTCATGTTACCAAGCTTAAGGTAGTGAAAATAAGTGACCATTTAGTGACCATACAACTAGTGCACTCCCAGGCTGTTGTGCTCTGTGATAAATTGGCCTGATAGCATTGAAATTTACTGCTAGTAACTTTACAAGGTGTGGGACAAAAGCTAATCTACAGTTTAGTACAAACACTCCGAGTACGTGTTAAGCTGTGTATGGATACGTGGGTCAATGCTTACAAGTGTACATTACCTGTGCCTACAAAAAAGGAGGTTGGTTGGTTTTACAATCTTCAAGCTGTTTCATGAAGAAGACACTAACTACTTAGTCTAGTGCTTTAGTTAAAACGTCAATGTACCTTGATTTTCTACCAATCTGCATGATTCAATTCAGATATGTTTATACAAGGAACTATGATTTTAATCGACCAAAATTGATAATATATCAAATGAAAAACAATAACACATCTGGCCCCACTCCATGTCTTGATAACTTTAAAGATATCATATTTCATGCATGCTCTCAAATGTCCAATTACAAACAATATCTGTGGGCAGGGTATCTGTCCAAAATTATTTTTTCAATTAATCATGCTTACATACAGGAATTACCAAGAATCTGAGGCATTCTTAGTTTGGTAATGCTGAATCACTAAAAAACAACTTTCCAGATGTTTAGAAAAGATAGCCTAAGGATAAAAACTTGCTGGGGTGGGGCATTGGCCTTTTAGAGGTCTGTTCAAACACCAGGTGGTCTGTTTGCTATGAATAAATGACATTCAGACAATACATGTAATATGTAACCTGCCGGAAGGCAAAGATACAGACTACAGGTATGTGAGATTAAATTACAGCTGTATCTTACATCAACTTGATTGAAGATGTTAGACAATAATGCATGTATTTATAGTCCACATCAAGCAAGATTCAAAAGAGAAACTTAAACCAGTAGCTATCACATTTCCTTGATCAAACAGCGTTTAAAAAAGAAAGCTCCTAAAATACACATTGTGACTGTGAACCTGACTCAACCTTTTAATAACATATCCGTTTCAGAGGCCAGTGTTTGAACTGTGGAGGCCACACACGATGGTAAACATTTCACAAACTGGAAGCTGTCTTTAATGTCAAAGGCAGCATGGGATATGCTCAAATACATCTTTGTACGGCTTGGGAATTCCATGCCAGTAAGCTTGACCTGCACATCGCTAAATGTCACTGAAGCAGAAAATCAAGTCTAACTTGAGATATTTTTGGCACACGATCACATTATGCATGAATGATTTTGTATATAAGCAGTACTGTTACAACTACCATACTATGTACACAAATGTTTCTCTAAACATTGTTAAGTAAAGACACTTGAACACTGTGTACTACAAGAACAGAGGTCCAATGTGTGGTGTTGGGCACTTAATTGATCTCATACAGTGTAGTTATCACACTGTAATTTTTTCCAGCACATACTTTGATAAAACTTAATAAGGCAGAGTGGGATGATCATGGTAATTTTCCACCTTGTTGCTTGCTGGGTGCAGCAGAAAAGATCTACTAGTATCAGAACAGTGTCAGTAGCAGTTACTAGCTAGCTTTTCAAAGTAGAAATACTGGTGGCTATGAAAGTCAAATTATCATGTGCTAGAACAAGACTAATGCCTATTCTCTAAGCAGAGGTTAGGAGGGAAGACTTTGAGTTATAACATACATCCTTTTCGACAAACAAAAAAACCTTGAAAAGAAACAATGATACAATCTTCCCTCCTAACATCTGCTTGAAGACTACAGTGCTAAGGTGTCAGTGCTTAGAGTGTTAATTGCATATTGATGACTCATTGTTGTGTTTGCACACATGTGTTATTGAACTGGTGATAAACAAAAATAAACAAACACTTTGAAAGAAACAACACAAGGAGCATGTACATAGAATACACATGTCAATCATTGCCATTTAATTGTGTTACTGTTAGAATGACTATTAGTATTTTCATTTTCATTTCCATAGTTCTGATTAAAGCAACATCAAGCTGTGTTATGTCTGTGTTATGGACTGTACAATGAAAACCGTGGCTGGGGGCAAGTCCACTATTTTCCTGCTGTCACAGGCTATTGACAGAAGCTTGGACATGTTGGAATGAGTCAGCAAAAGAAGGTAGGATTAAGGAGAAGCTTGGCATATTAAAATGTACCTCATAACGATGACATAAGCCCTTACTACAAGAACTACATCACTACCTTGTGCGACATATTAATTTCCATTCAACAATTGTTTAAGGAAAACAGCAAAAGAATGCAAATTTGTACAAAGTGCTGACTGTCATCTGATGACACCACAAATAATGACAGGTCACCATCTGTGGTCATCTTCCCAAGAAAGGCTATGAGTCAACAGGTGTGAACATCTGACATAAAGCGATGCAATACCCTTATCCTTCGTTGCTATAGGATTGGATAACAAATAGAGTATACAGACAAAATGAGCCATTTTCTGACAAATTTCAAGAGCAAAGTTCACTTAACAACATCTGAAGAGCTGAAGAATGAAATTATCGATCATGAATACATTAGTCAATATTTGTGTTCTGCATTTTTGATGTGCAATGCCTTGGTGCGGTTTCCATCACATAGACGTGTTTGTTGACATAGTATTAAACCGACTATTATATTCCGCATGCAAGCTGTCAAGCTATCTTCAAATACGCCTACATATTTTCTTAAGAATTATGAAGGCATATTTGCTAGTAAATTTGCTTTCTTTTTGAGGGGATCGTGAGGGGGTGGGGGGGGGGGGCTTTCTGTTCTGCAACTTTGTTCCGGGTCACAGTACGTTGTCAAGGGAAGAGACTACACACGGATATCTATGTCTACATATCCTAACGGTTCATCAATTTATCATGATAGCAAAGGCTATGAACTTGAAGGTTTTTCTTCAGTGCTTCAGTGTAGATCTAGGATGAAAATCTACATTAAAGAGCACACAGCCAGAGTTACCCTTGAGGAGTTAAAATAGGTGCAGGACCAGGAAATTCTTGCCACAAAAGGTCTAGATCGATCGAATGTTTTTCTCACCTTTCTGTCCCGGTCAGGATACGGCAGTGCTAGCCACGGCATCTCCCCGTAATACTCATCGAAGCTGGCCTGATCTCTGTCAGACGACACGAAGATGATCTCGAAGTTCTTGCCCTTCTCGGTGGCCTTGAACTCCCTGTAGAAGTCGGCGAGTTTAGGCGTGAAGCCTCGGCAGGGAGGGCACCAGTGCGCCGAGAAGTACAGCCCCACGTACCGCCCCTCCCCCACCAGCGACTCGGTCGCTAGCGACTCCTTCTCCCCGACCTTTTCCTGCAGCTTGTCGCCCAACAGAGCCTGTAGAGAAGACATGGTTCCGACTCTCCTATCGACGTGTTGTTTCTGATGTTTGAAAGCAGAAATCCCAGTTTTTATACCGCACCGAAAGGCCGGGTTTCCTCACTTTCCTCAGATAGACACTGAGTCATCTGTGACTTCTCGTCTGCCTCGTACTCCCGGCATGCTTTGCGAATTTTGGTCTCGCGGGAAATTTAATTTTCACTTCATCCCCAAGGCAAAAATATACTGTTTTGGGCTTGTCTGTGTACCTCTCCATCTACCAGTATCTGTCTGTCTGTCCATCTATGTCTATGTCTATGGTCTATCTCCGTTTGTTCCTGCAAGTCCCAATATACAATATACAGCGTTGATATGGCAACGGTACAAACCATGTCGCATGTCCTGAGCACCACAAAAGAAGAGAAGGATGGAGAGGTTAGTATGCTAACCCTAATTTAGGGTTATGTAACCCTAGTTTTGGGTTAGCTACAAGACCAACTGAGTTTGGTTTCAGAACAGAAACAGAATAATTTAAACTAATCCAAACATTATTTTTATTAAAAAATTTATTAAAACATTATTTTCACTCCAAAATTAATGCGCAAAATTTGGAATTTTCGCGAAGGACAATATCATAGAAAAGAATCCGGTACCGGTAGAAATGATTGATGCTGGCAGAAAGACCTAAACCTTGACCCAAGTAATTTTTTAACGCGCACTACCACGGAACGCGGGTGCGGAAGAATTGGGGTGTGCACGGTTAACCAGCAAGTTATCAAAACCTCCTTGAGTAAGGCCATACTGATTCAACTTTATGGATGACATCCACGCGCGCATTGATTTTCTCCTGTTTTGAAAAAAAAAACGGTTTTGATCCCCTTTGATCCGGTGCTGATCCGGTTTTAAGAACAACTTCACTTTCTAACATCGTCAGCAGATGGCGCTTCAGCACCAAGGATGGGTATTACGATGTGTTACCTGTGCTACGATTATAAGTCGCCAGAGGGCGCAAGTGCACCATGTGTGAAGAATTAAAACAAGATTGACTTGAACGTGTCAGAATAGATAGATTTGCCTACTTTGGAGAATTTGTTGTTTTCCCCCAACGTATTCTTTTTTTACCAGCTATATTGACTGCGTAATACACATCGTTAATAGTCTATATAGCCTTTATCCGTTAGAATACTAGTTATCAAATTTTGTAAAAAAATGAATTTTTCCCCAATCACTCTCGTCTCGCAAGGTATCAAATCTGTTTAGACAAGAAAATAACAAGCGGAATATGACATTCCAATATCTGGCGTGGTATTTCATCTGCCTTTACTTCTGTGTAGTGTTCCAAGTGGAAGTCACCAGTTATTCGTTTTCTGTCGTCTTATCTTTTTCCTACAGACGTGACATTTGGTGTGACGGGACATACGTATTGCATGACTGAGTACATTGTCTTACTGTATTAGATATAGAACGTGGAACTAATATGTATGACATTCTGCATTTTGAAATGTAATACATGTATATGTATATGTATCAACGACAAAAGCGCTATGAAAAATTCGTCATTCCCGTCGCTACATGTATCATGTTCACTGTTTTATACCGATACGTACTCAACCATTTCTTTATATACTTCAGACGTATTAAACATGTTAGTATATAATTTCGTATGTTCTTTTCCATCGTCTATAGCTAGTTTTTTTTCATTCATCTTTGAAAAAAGCCGGTTGTTCCACCAGTCATTATAGACTGGTGGAGCCCACAAAAATACAAATGATAGATAACAAATACATAAGTCAAAGTACAATGTACAGGTAACATAGGTATGTGAATCATGGATAAATCATAAATTAGCATACATGATAATTGGGGTTATGTGAAAGGAATATACAGTAACCAATAAATAAATAAATAGGTACATAAAATAATGAATAAGAATCATGCAAACAAACACAAACCATTGTCTAAACTCAAAGACCATTTCCATTTAAACCAAAGATATTTGCTCAGAAGTCAGGGGTACAGTCATTTGTTGGTCAGAGTTTCTTTGAATATTGTAATTGGTGATGATTGCTTCTTGTAATACGTCTGGTAGCATTCTCTAGCCTCTACCAGGCTTCGGGAGGCGGCTGGAAACAGAACAGTAGAAATTGGCCAAATAGAGTGCCGGGGGAGTTAGTCCACTAGAGAGTACATTTCGGCACACTGTACTCTCTAGTGGACCAACTCCCTGGGCATGTTATCTTTCTATTTAGCCAATTTTTACTCTTTCCAGTCGCCTCCCGATGCCTGGTAGAGGCTAAGCATTCTCCACAAACCCCCCCTACTACCAACGCCCCCCCCCCCTGATCCGGGATTTTCTCCCTGCAGACTGATTATAACAAAATGTCATCGCCGGATTATTTTGCGGTGAAACGTCATAAATATTTTACAAAGAGAGGGAAGCGGCAATTATTATTTCATGGCTACAAATGTCACGTTCAGCTGGGAGAAGGTGGAATTTACGTGCCAAATATCCCCAGTGATCTGTAAAAGCATCCAGAAGGAATAATTGTACAAAGTAGCCGTCGATGTGTGATCAATTGGTGGTTTGTTAGAGTTAGAATAGTGACGGGGAGAGAGAGTCATGCTCTCCAAGTAGAGGTTGGGGTTTTGGGTTATTTGGGGCGTGTTTTTAGGCTTTTTTTATCCGGCTTTCTTTTTTGCACTGAATTTTTTTGGGGGGTTGGGTGAAAAAAATTTCAGTGCAAAAAGAAAGCCCGATAAAAGCCTAAAACACGCCAAGAATAACCCAAAACCCAAACCTGTGCTTGGCGAGTAAGAGTGTCTGGGTTTGTGAGATTGATAGCATGAAAATGAGAAAATGGGACATACAACTCCACACATGTACAGTCGTTGTTTTACCTTTTTTATATGATGCCCTAATGAGTACGTGCTATAATCTGTACATTATACGGTACATTCGGCGGTTGGTCGGGAGGGTCGGACATGGTTGGCTGGTGTTCGGCTGTAAGTCGGCAGAACACCAGCCAACTAGTAAGTCAGCAGTTTTTCGGGTGCGTTCGGGTGTCAAATTTGACTCAAATTTAACTCAAATTAGTTTTTATCCGTATAGAAAGGTAGCGTGGCCTAAATGTGACCAGATTGCTCCCGACGAACGTCAGCCAAATGTGGTCGGCTGGTATTCGGGGCAATGTCGGGGAAAGGTCCTAAATGTGCGACAGGGGCTTACTCCGTGGATATGCCACATTCAAGGAATAGTACGACCACGCTGATTGGTTAGACGTTATGTTTATCAATTATGCATGTTGAAATAAATGATTTATCAAGACTAAGGTAAGATGATGGTCTGAAATGTCAAATATAAGCCTAGTGAATATTCCCTTTATGAGAATAAAGATTGATAGGTGTTCGTTAGTGAAGATAGATGGTTTGTTCAAACACGTGGAACAACCCTGTCCTGATTTTATCTTTCAGGGATGAAAAGATCATGGACTTTTTAAAAATATAAAATGGATTTCAAGATGTTGTACATAGTAATAAAAGAAATTTACAAAATTATATCTCAGACCCCATATTTTTGTTGCGATTGTATATTGTTAGATTGTGTATTAGATATTATATCTCGGCTCAATTCGTTTTGTTGGATGGTGGCGCTGACATAACTTGAGGGCGCCGTTATCTTGTCTGTATTTCTTTATTTATGTTTTAATAAAATATATATCGTAGACTCTTTGGATCGATGTATTAGATATAGACTATGACTAAAAGACTGAGTTCAGAACAAAATTCAATGTACCAAGAAATCACATTTCATAGTTTACATTTGACAGATAACAGCTATTTTCATTTTCAATTCGTCTGCAGAATGTCTCCATGCTCAATGCAACTGTTCGAACAGATTTATTCCCACAATTTCCATGCCCCAGATGTGACATTTACCAAACGCTCCCCGGTATTGGGACCATTTACATGGTGTATCTTGTTAATTCAGCCTTTGATGATAAATGCACGTTGATGCCATGTTCACCCGAGGGAGTCGTAAGAAAGAAAAACACCCATCCTTCCTAAAGATCATCTTATTTCAATCAGATTTTCTCACATATCGTATTACGCGTACCCACCCTGTGTTACGGCCGCTCAGGGACACGTTAATGTGAAGATGATGTTAACGTTTTATTCCTGTCTCCCCCGAGGCTAGAGATGTGCACAGCTGTGACAGAAGGAACGGGGACAGGTGTATCTGCAGGGCTTTTAGCCAGAGACATGGTTACCTCCTTGAAAAGTGGAGGTATTGTTTTTGGTGTGTGTGTGTGTGTGTGTGTGTTGTGTGTGTGTGTGTGTGTGTGTGTGTGTGTGTGTGCGTGCGTGCGTGTGTCTCCGAATGGCTCTTTAAAAATAGGTCAGGTTGTAATGGATATGGCTGGGTTCAAGTCTGTCCCAGAGGGAGAAAGTCATTAATCACGTCTACATTTAGTAGCGCTCGTTGGTTTCACAGGTGTTTTTTGTTACATGACCTCCTTGACAGTTGGCAGCTGGTTTCCCTTGCACGATAAAGAAAGACTAGATACATACACAGTGAATGAGTCACCATCACACAAAGTAGAAATATTTCATGGAGATATTTTTGTTTCTACTGTGGTAAAATCCTTCTTTCGGCAATATCGATGAAGTAAAGTCGTGGGACATCTGATGAAAAATGTTATACCTGGTTGACTTTCATCATCTACATCATTTCACCTGCATGACTGTCTTTATCTTAAAAGAAGAAGTCAAACCCAGCAAATTAGCGTCTCACAAACCATTGTATTTTCGTTCTTCATACGATTTGTTTGTAACTGCACCTAGCCCTCGGGCATGTATTTGCAATAAACATTCTCATATATATATATAGATCCGTCATCGTTAAAGCGCATATGTCGATTCCTGAGACTGAGTGTAAAATGGCAGTGAAGGCTAAACTACATAGTAACGAGTATTCAGTGTACGATGAAGGAATAGCGAATTCTTCAGCGTGCTTCATTCCGTAGGCTACGAGGCTACTTGCGGCTCTCTGTAATAACCGTTCAAGTATATGGCGCCATCTTCACAACATTGCGAATGAGCACTTTTCCATCGACCGATCGAGGTTTGCCATTAAAGGCTTTCAAATCCGACTCAATTTGTGACCACTCTGAAA